GTAGGGCGTTAGTCCTTTATCAGCAGAATCTCATGACTGTGCAGTTTTAGAGATTTGCTGAGATACACATCCATTTTCCCATCGACGCTGTTGTATTTATGATTACAACACATTAATGGTTATGAAAATCAACAGTTCATTTGCCAAGATCTGTGTGTCAGGAATAATCTGTTTCATTTCAGTTTTGGGTGGTTTGGATAAGTGTTTCTGTTAGTTACTATGGCTTTTCATTGTTTGATTAGTTTGCACATGTTGTCCTTTATTAGTTTGGTCTTTAAGCCTTACATTTCTTTTAGTTCTTGGTCAGCTCTTGTCATGTTATACCCTGATTAGTTTTTGTAATTGTTTGTTTGCTAAAAACTTTTGCTGTGCTTAGATTCTTCACCTCATCTTTACTCCAGCCAGTTTGTGACCCACTGCAGCTTGTCTGAAAATATGAGCTACACTGAGATAAGATTCATGTCAAAATGACAACATGGCAACAACAATGGAATATTTGCAATACCAAAAAGTTAAGTGATGCACCTTTTGAACATACTGTACAGAAGTGTGAAAAATACATCACTGTGGTGTCGTCCTGACTCAAGGACACATGATTAGACATTAGACATCACCTAGGTTAGGAAGATTCCAAAGGCCCGGCGTTAGAGGGGGCACCCGAGGGGGGAACGCAATTTCGCGGGGAACTACCGATTTCTACCGAGGGGGAAGGACAACATCCCCACCCCACCCCCCGGAACGCAATTTTTACCAAGGGGGGCCCTGAGTAAATATGCTTTTCAGGGGGCCCACAAACCATAGCGGCGCCCCTGCATTAATCAGACAACATGCTCAGACACTGGTTAAGCAAATACTTAACACAGGAAAAAACATTTCTACAAATACAAGGCAATGATCCAGATAGCGGTGGCAAGATGAAGCTTAATAAAGCTTTGAACCTTTCAGCCAGATGTTTTGAAAAGTGATTAATTTCTCGAGGCTTTGAATGCACGCTATAGGCATACCTGCTGGTCGATCCAAAAAAGGGCAGGAAAAAATTGTCAGGAGTGTGACAGCTCCAAAAAAAAGGCACACCCATTAGCTTAAATATATTTATACATTTTAATATAAGCGACCAGTTAAATTTGACAATTTGTATTTGCATTGCTCTGAACAAACTCAGCAGACCGGCTGAATAAAAATGCAAGTTCATTCTCTGAAAGGAGGTGGCGCTTATGGAACAGCAGAAATACTGTGGTTACCATGGTTACCACTTGTTTGTCACAGAAAAGGAAGTCAAAACAGTATTTGCATGTTTTCATTTACATGTTTGTTTGCATGTATGCTATATATGAAGATCAGAGGTAGAATGTCTCCCATCAGCATTTCATCTGCATCCTGCTATAAAAATAAAAAAAACTTCCTCTATGCTTTCACTTTTCCTTAATTCTAGCTAAATGATGTCTAAATCTTTGTATTGCTAGCACTTCGGATGTAAGAAATACTTAATTTGCATGTCTCTTTGGATATAAAGTGTCTGCTAAATTAATAAATGTAAATTGTACTGTAAATGAATGGTTATGAAATAAAGTCTTGTCTGAAAATACGAGGTGAGTTTAGTGAAGATGTTGAAACTTCATGGTAAAACTGATGGCAAATATGCAAATAAATCATCCAGACACCAATGCACTGGAAAAAACTGACCACAGATTTGTTCACATTTACTATCACAGTAAAGTCCAGGATGTCTCTCTAGTCTTAACTGCGGTGTGCATCTCAGATAATTTCACTAAAACAAATGTGTTTCTGAAGATGAGAATGAAATGCTGTGTCACAGGGTGATATTATAACTCTGTGAGAAAAGCCTGTGTGAGCTCTGAATGTAAACACAATGTGACAAGAGAGATGAGAATGAGATCCAGAGACAGACGTGATTGAGTGACAGACAGACAGTGAAGTGTCGCTCTCTACTGGACATCAGCAGCATTACAGCTCAGAACATCACATGATCATCTACATCACATCAGACCTTTGAAGAGCTTTAGCTCACAGTCCTTTAAATGAAAACTATAAATGTAGTGAATATCCATCAGAATTCCAGAGTTAACATCTATTTTAAACAATGCTAAAATATATGACTGTTACCAATCAAATGAAATCAGTATCAACAAAATCCATCTTGCCATTTATCAAAATCCATTTACACTGAAATTACAATTGCATAAATAATCATCATAGTCATGAGAATAATGTTTTAAATCTAACATTTTGAATATTGAAATATGAAACGTTGGGGAAAATTGAAATGAAACTAATGTATATAAAACGAATCAAGCCAGTAGGAGGCAGCAAGTGGTAATAAGTGAATCATTACAGAAATCATTTCACTTTCACTTTTCAAGGTCATTGCATACACAATAAACTCCACGTGGAAGTTAGAAGAATTTCCAGTTTTATGTCACAGAAACGTAAAAACAGTGAATTACAGGAGTACATTTATATTCTGATAATACTCAAGATTTTAATTTTTAAAACAAAACATTCCTTAAATGCCCTCAGAATAATTACTAGCATTAACAGTGATTATTCATCTGTCGTACTAAACTATAAAGAGTAAATTTGTAATGTTATCAGAGAAATTAATTTTGCACATTTTTAACAAGTATAAACAGTAGTTATTATTTAGTCTTGTGGTCTGCATGTAAACATCTGTTAAGTGAAATAGCTTGTTTTAAAGATAAAAGGCAATTTTTATGATCCCTCATTTTTAATTATTCGCTTTTGCAGATTTGCAAGAGTAAACTTATGATCTCAAAAGTACATTTATTTAATGTTGCCTTTTAAAATTGCATAACATTACATACATTACATTTAAATTTTCCATAGTGACTATCGTCACTCTGTTGAGAATGTCTCGAGTCTTAATCAGGAACATACTCAGAGTTGAATGAACTTACTCCCGGACGTGTTTTTGGAACCAACATACCTCGAGTAAGCAGGTTTTGGGTTAATCAACCGGAAGTTCAGGGTTTAGCTGACGGTAAGTTAACCGTGCTTTCTGGAATACACCCCAGGTCTGGAAGCAGACAGATTGGCTAAACCGACCGTCTGCTAGCCGCCTCACGTCACAGAAATCAGTTAATTCTCAGCACATAGAGACTCTTTCAGCTAGATATCACACTATAGAGACTGTGTCTGTTCCCCGAACTAGAAAATACAATAAATGTCCAAACCAATTTAAGAGTAACAATTTAATTGATGTTCAACAAATAAAGAACATATAATACAGAGAAACAAAAGATCAAGCTTGGCTTATTGAATATTAGATCCCTTTATTATATTAGATCACAGATCATAACTAAAGGATCATTGTGTTTGAATGCGATACCTTCTAAATAAACCCATTTCACACAGAGCCGTCTGTCATCCCAATGAGAGAACAGTTCCATAACTTTTATCAAACTGATTTCTTTAATGGTATGATGAGTACTCAAATCCATCTGAAACAAATCATGATCTTTTAGTTACCAATTATGAAGATGACCAGATGTCAGGGTTTCATCTACAGTCTCTCCTGATTCAGACAGACAGATTTGTGATCCTTATGCATTGTGAAGGTAAATGTACAACAGTTTTCTTACCAGAGGTTTAGACATATTTCTGGTTGAGCAGATACTGGATGATGTTTCAAACTTCTTCAAATCTCCTAATTGAAGAAAGTGCATTTCAGTTGAACATTGGAGATTTCACATTCTTGTCATGACCTGACTCTGTGAAGTTGATTCTTTCAGACTCCAGCATCAGCTGCTCATGTAAATGTGTAATGAAACACACCTGATTGACATCAGCAGCTCATGAATGACTTTAACAGCTGAACTGAAGCTGTTCACAAACACAAGACTCCTGCAGAACATGTCTACTGTTTAGATAGCAAAATTATTATTTATTGTTTGAGTTCATAACTGAATATGATTCCTTTAGCATGATCATGACATAATCTATGATTTGAAATTACTTGGAGCCTGATGTATAGGCAAATTGTCTCAAAATGCATTTATAGTCCGTATCTCATATTTTCCTAACATGTTGTATGCTACACTTAAAGAGTTAGTTCACCCAAAAATGAGAATTCTGTCATTAATTACTCACCCTGCGTCACTTTGGACGCGCGTTCACGACAGTATCATGACGCGAGCGTGTGGCGGCGCTGAATAGTGCGTACGCACACATTTAGGATGAAATCTACGTAAAGTTTTATACATGAGGCCCCTGCGGAATAAAATGACTCGACTGTGTGTGTCTCATTATTGACTGAATGTCCTGTTACTAAATCCGGCTTCTGATTGTATCTCAAAACAGAAAAATTAAATCAGTATTTATTGTAGATCAGTTATGATGACCTTGTGAGCTGTAAACATAATACACAGTAAAAAATAATAAATAAATACAATTAAATACTAACTAGAAGATTTAGATGTATTAATTTAGCAGGGAATTTTATCCACTTACAAACTGGTAATATCACAAGCAATTTGTCACAGAGACACAACATTTATACAATGTCAGGTTTATTAGAAAGATAGATTAGGAGACAAACAAGAGCTGAGGAGAAATAAAAAAAAATTTGGCATTCAATTTTTGTGAACATTTTTCAGAAATTCTTGAAATCTGTGATGAACTCAGCACATTGTCAGAGAGGAATAGAGAAGTGTTTAGCGTTTCTATAGCACATAATATTCATTTCTGTATTTGTACCATTTTTTTTTTTTAGGAATGATGTACAGCTTTAATAATTTCAGTAATTCAATCATTTTAATTGATATAAAATTGGAAACTGTTTATTGGAATAAAAACCATGCCTATAGATCAATATAATTATTATACATCCTGACAGCAGAAAGGTAGAAGAACTTGAAAATGTGTTTCTGTGAAACAGAAACGGAGCGTGACTTGCATCATGTGATAGGTGTGTGCTTCTGTGGGAGGAGTTTGGGTTGGAAGTTTCTCCTTATTTTAGATAAAAGGTTCACAATATCAGCACAGATGTCAGAGCTGCATGATGTTTCCTCTTTTTGGCTCAACACGAGGTAATTAAAACACTTTTTTTTATCTTTAATTGTTTTGTATAGTTATTTTTATTCACTAATTTATCTAAATCTGGACATTTATGTTTGTGCAATGTAAACCTGTATTGCAGAGCACTCAACAACAAATTAAAACTTCACTTAACTCTACATTGAACCTTTGAATTTTTTGGAACAGATACAAAACAAAGGCAGAATTTAAGAAAAATATGACATGGGAGAGCATATATGGAGCAGCACAAACTGCAGGATAATTAAACCGATGGGAGAGAAAGAGAAATATGGCGAACAAAAAGGACAAAACGTTACAATCTAAAGAACCAAAGACAATGAGTCTATTCAGACAAAACAGCATTAATAGTGGCAAACCAAACTGTGAGTATTAATGGTGTTTCAGACAAAACACCATTATATTTAATCAACAGTGCTTCATCTCTGCTGTAAAACAAAGTCTATACTGCAACTTTTCATTCATTCTGTATAAACTTGTAAAAGCATCATTTACATTTACAGTTGTTCTCATAACTTTACATATAGCTATTATATTGTATTGTCGATCATATGTAACATCTGTTATGTGAAATATAGTATAAGCCTTAATTGTTTAAAAAAAATCTAATTTTTGCAAATTCTGCAAGTTGTATGTAAATGTCCAGAACATCATGCATTTGGGAGATGCTTTGATTCAAAGTGACACTGATTTAGGAAACAGTTGATTCATTCTCTGCGAATCAAACTCATGTCATGTTCTGCTGTTTGAGCTGCAGGAATATTCAGATGTTTGTGTTTTTCATTCGCAGTTTCTCATGTTGCACAGATTCCTTCTGGTGTTTCAGAGCGAGTCACAGACGAGGTGAGATTTACACGTCATATATAGAGAATTAAAACACTGTAGAGCTGATGCACTAATCTGATGTTTTATTGATCTTGGTTATATTTCTCAGAATGTGTTTTCTCTTTTTAGAAAGCAGTGGTTCTGTTCATCTAACCTGCAGAATATTCTCCATCATGTTCAGCCACGGATTAAACAATGTATAGAGGAATATGTATAAATGGGTATTATATTTATAAAGTACATGTTTGGATTTCATGAGTACACTACATGTTGTTCTGAATGAATATGATCTGAATGTGACATTTAAAGTAATCATTGATGTAATCAGAGTTC